GGGGGGGGTGAAGGAGTTTCCCTGGGATGCAGGACTCTCAGTTCTAAAGCCAGGAAAGGCCTGGGCAAACTGGGATGAGTTGGTCACCCTATTTCCCACAAACATCAACAGCTCCCAGCTGGCTCAATAAGAGACTCCACTCCAAGCCCATGCAAGGGTAGACTCATTCTTGGCAGCTATTTGGATGGATTCCAGAATCAGACTGCAGTGAGTCAAGGAGCTCAACTTCAAGGCATCTTGGTGCTCAGTCACCAGGGCAGGGTCTGTGCTTACTGGGTGTGCTTTGTCTGGGGTTCCCTGTGACAGGCACAATTCTCCAAGAAATTGCTACTCTCCTTCCACTTCTTTAAAGGCACCCCAGTAATGATCTCAAAAGAATTTGGGATCCTGAATCTATCATCAGCGTCCCCTCTGAGTCAGGCCTGAATGGGCTGGTCCTGCCCCTTGGTTGCAGAGACCTGCCTACATGGGCAGACTGCAGATTGCAAGGGCCAGGACTTCTTACAAGTACCATGAGGATGGAGTGTCTCTTAGGCCTTGAATTGGAACAAACTGTTTTGTTTCAAAGACGTGCAGACCACAGGTCAGCTAAGGATGAACAAGTTCTTCTCCTCACTAAGTAACATGCAGAGTAACTAATATTGTCGCTACTCAGTAACTACTACTAACTCTGCTACTAACATCTACTAACTGTCCTAACTGTTAGTTACTACTGTTACTACCCTAAAGATTTGTAGAGTCGCTGCAATTTGGCTTTTCCTATCGTTCCTAGGCGAAAATTGCGATGGTATCATCGCTTTCAAATCAGGCCCCCAAATGAACCGCTTTTGGAGTTGCTATGATTTGTCTCACTATGTCCTCTTGACCTTGAGCACTAAAGTTTTTTCCCTCTTCACTTTGTTGTTTCTCTTTCCCAATTTAGGAATATACAACTTACTCAAAAGTGATTGCTATATATGGATTCTTCTTTGAGATAAAGGGAATCAGACATGATACTACCTCTTACAGTTTTTATATGCAGGTAAGAAAGACAGCCCAGGAAAGAAAGACAGTCTTTTAGATGCAGAGTCAATTCAAGATGAATTAATAATAATTTATTAATCATTAATTAATAATTAATATGAGCTTATCGTAAGTGCTAATCATGCTCATATACATGACCTCATTTGATTTTTACAACAACCCTGGGAGGTAGGTACTGTTAGCCCATTTAGCAGATGAGGATCTCAAAACTGAGTGTCTCTGTGTTCATATGGCCTCTGTTGGTAAAGCCGGAGTTAAGTTCCAGTCTTCTCTCTCCACATTTGGGCTCAGTTCCTCTTCAGTTCATACATGGTGGGTGACACTTACACATGGTCATTCTTCCATGGAGGTAACAGGTAGTGACCACAAGTGGGAGAGGAGATGGTCTTGTTCAGAGCAGAAAAGCAGCGCTGTGGGCAGGACACCAGAGAAGTCAGGAGGGTGGGTGACTTCACCTCAATGCTCCTGCTGGGCTTTTGGGAGAGGCAGGAGAATGCGGTGTCAAGAGTGCCTGGCGAGCTGCACGACCTAGCAAGTCCCAGCACCTCCCTCTGCCCAGTTTCCTCATCCCTGAGATGGAGAAGTTAACAGGACCTACCTCACTGGGTTGTTGTGAGGGTTGTGCAAAGGGACAGGGCCTGACACAGGAAGGTCTATAGGTGCTAGAAATGGCGATGGTGATGACAGTGACCACTGTGGTGAAGGACTGCTGTGTACACTCAGGATTTGCCTGTAAGTCTCTCTTCTAAACTGCAAGCTGCTTGAGAAGCCAAATCACATGAATCCCTTTATGACCACTGCCAATCACAGCCCCTGGAACACATGGGCGCTTTGGGTGAGTGACTGAATGAAGGATTGGATAAATGAATGAACGCACGAATGAAGAAGCCTGAGTATGAGTCCCAGCTTTGTCACTTCCTCATCACGTGCCCTGAGCAAGTCACCACTCTTCCTTGGGCCTCAGTTTGTGGTCTCCAGTGACTCGGGCCTCTCACTACCCATGGATTTTACTGGATGGAAGAGATGAATGATGTAACACCACCAGTCAAAACACCCACATGAATACCATGTTGGTTTTTAAATTCTAGCAAAGTGATAATGAAGCTTGGCTTGATTGCGTTTTTTGGGGGTTGGTCAAACCCCAGTCCATTGCCAGTGGTTTGAGTGTGGTGAGGGCTCAAATGCTGGCTGACTCAGCAGCCTCGGCTCTCAGGAAATGGTGCCATTTGGGACATGCCTCTGGCTGTCTGCACACTTATGCAGGAGTGTCTATATGCCAGGACCTGGGTTTTGCTAACTCTGGATCACCCCGGTTGCAGTTCCACCTGAGATGCGTCACTTTCTTTGCAGAGAGTAAGGCACACAGACCTAGAATCCCCCTCTGAGGTCTGCGAGGGCAGCCCTGTTAGCCTGAGAGCGGAACGCTTAGTGAAGTACGAGATCAGAGCCCAGACCCTGGTCGACGGCAAGTGGCAGGAGTTCACGACACACCAGATCATGCAGAAGTTTGGGTTTGTCAAGCAGTTCTGCAAAAGCCGCGTGAGTGTTTGTCTTTGTCCTTGTCTTTTCTTTGATTTCCTTTTGTTCTTTGGTTGATGAACCCAAGTCTGGCCCCCTGCCCCATACAAAAACCTTGGCTTGGTTCACCAAAATCTGTTACCCCAGAGCATTGACTCTTGGCTGAGGCTCACCAAAATCTTGTTAACAAACCCAAGTCTTACTGCCTGCCCCAAACAAAAAAAACCCAAATGGTGGTGAAAATGGAAGTCAGCTTTTATTCAGGAACACGGGTGATCTGAGGAGAGATGTTAGGCAAACCCATCTCTCCAGTAAACCTGGAGGAAAATGGCCAGACAAAAGCCATCTCAGAGACTCACATTTACTGAAGGGTTTTTTTAAGAGGGGGTTGAGGGAATGGAACGTGGGAAATGAAAAGCAGGAGGGAGGGGCACGTGCAAGGAGCCAGGTGCAGATTCTTACCAAGTGTCCCTCTGGCTTTTGTTCTTGTCCTTAACGTTATCTTAGGGTCCTGCGGGATTCTGATTTGCTTCAGGGTGGAATCAGCACAGCCTAATTGATGTCTTCCTTGGTGTCTCAAGGTCTGGATAGTACATGTCTCATGGCAAGTCTGCAGCTGCAGGCTGACTGGAAAACAACTTTACATTTATGTAAATAATGTTGTCTTGCCCAGTAAGCAAGTTTTGAAATATGAAATCACCATGAGAAAAGAGGGTACTCAGAGAAATGCATGCCAAGAAAAACACTGTCTTTAAGTATTCCTGCAGCCCATGTGGTTTTAGGTCCTAACATGGCTTCAGTCCTGCTCACTCCAGCACTTTCTCCTCCCACCCCAACTCCACTCTTCTTTGGGAATTCCTGGCTTTAAATCTCCAGTGATCCACAGAAGCTTGCACAGTTTCTTAAGGCTCATCACAGCTCCATGAATGAGAAACCTTCTAGAATGAAAAGCATGGGAAACTGATAATGATAATCCAAATCAGACTGCTGGATTTGGGTCACACCAGATCCATTTTATAAATGTCAAATAGTGTGTGTGTGTTTATATATATATATGTGTGTATATATATGTGTGTGTGTGTATATATATATATTGAAGGTAGGAGAGGCTCAGTGGAGTGTATTTGCTGCCACCATCTCACTGGTGCTTGTGCATAACCTGCCACTTCTCCTGAAATCCATGGCCCGGGCCACCTGCCTCACTGGCCCATTCAGGAGGACTGAGCCCAACTACCCCAGTGGGCGATGCCAGCATCCAGGTGATTCAGTACCTGGACTGGCTTCTGACAGCCCCACCCACAAATTGCCAGGGAGCCTAGAAGGAACACTTTGAGCTGTGAATTGAAGGAGGTCTGGGGCCCCCCTTGCTTCCCTGCCAGGAATGGGACTTCGCCATGAACCAGTGAGTAACTCTTGATCCTGGCTGCACAACAGAATCACATGGCACTTTAAAACTCCCCAGGCCAGAACACCACCCAGATCACGGGGCCAGATACTCCACAAGTGGGGCCTGGGTATCAGTATTTTTAAAAGCTTCCCAGATTGTTTTTTATGATTTTGGAAATGAGAATAGCAAAGGAACGTGAAGGAGATTTCTGAGGAGCTGGAAATGTCCTTTATCTTGACCGGGGTGATGGTTACACAGGAGGGCTTACTTTGGGAAAATTCATCAGGCTGTACTCTTGAGATTTGTGCATTGATTGTATTTAGGTCATAATAACATTTTTAAAGTTTGTTTTAAAACCCTCCCTAGGTGATTCTGACGTGCAGCCAGAGTTGAGAACCGCAAGCTTACGCAATTGTTAAGCTTTCCTTATCTCCCTTCTGGAGGTCGATTGTATTTATCCTAAAAATTCCATTTGCTTTGTTTTGTTTCATATTTTAGGCCTTGAAAATCCAAACTGTGGGCCTCCCAATCTATGCAAGTTTTGCATTCATCTTCCCAGTATCATGACAGTTTCCAGAAGAATCTATGGGATTTCCCCACCACCAGTCTGCGTAAAAGAGAATAAAATGACATTAAAAGGGAATACTGATGGATTCAGCTGACTTTCCTAGTTAGTAATGGTCTCGAGAACTTTTGCTCCTATTTGTATCATTTGAGGATAGAAAATGCTAGAGCCATGAGTACATTTGCCGTCATTGACCCCAAAGCACCCCGAGACCAGCCCTAACTTTTTGCACTGTCCCTCTCGGGGCCATGGGAACACCCCCAGGACCAGCAGATGCCAGCTGGGAGCATTAAATCCTTCCCTTCGGGTGCAGCTCTGCCTCTAACCAGAACAACATACCTGACAATTGTCCCTGGCAGTTCCAGCTCAGACAGAACAAGAGGTAGGAAGGGAAGGAAGCAACTATAAGGTACAGAGTGACTTTATTACCCTGCCTTTTTAAATATAACTCTGTGGTTTGGAAAAAGAGAGGTAGGGAGCTTTTCTTCCCACTTTTTGTATTAGTTTTCTATTGCAGTGTAACAAAGTACCACACATTTAGTGACCTAAAACAACACATATTTATTATTTCACAGCTTTCATGGTTGAGGAATCCAGGCACAGCGTTACTGGGTCCTCCGCTCAGGGTCTCACAAGACTACAATTGAGTGACAGCCAGCTGTGTTCTCATCTGGAAACACGACTGAGGAGAATACATGTCCAAGCCCACTCAGGTTGTTGGCAGATGCGTTCTCTCCCAGCTGCATGACTGAGGGCCTCAGCTGCTACTGGCTGTTGGGAGAAGCCACCCAGGTCCTAGCGGTCCCCTGCAGTTCTGGGCCACGTGGCTCTATCTACAGACATTTCAAAATACGGCTGTTTGCTTGTTCAAGGCCAGCAGAGAATCATGCTAGTCTGCTAAAACAGCTCTTATACAACTTAACATATCATGGTAGTGACATCTCATCACCTCTGCCCGACTCTCTGGGCTGGAAGTAAGTCACATGTTGTGCTCACACACAAGGGAGAGGATTATGCAATGGGTCACCTTAGGGTGTGTCCACCAGAGCGTGTTACCCATTGTCTTTGGAAAGGTGATGTAGAGGTAACCCTGCTGTGCAGACAATGAGGTGGGTAAGTTTAGTCTAACCTCAGGGTTGAACACAGGCTGGGGGATCTGCCTTCCCAGCAGAAGAAGCTGCTGTCCTGTGCAGGGTGACCTGGGAGAAAGAAAGGCAGGGGGAAGGTGTAAAGGTGGCCTACTAGAAGAACGGGGCAGAGAAACTGGGCATTGGGAACCTGTTGGCAGGTTCATCTCGCCCTCCTGCCAGCCCTATTGCCCAGGCTCTGTCCAGCTTGCTTCTGGCCAGGTCCAGTCAATGGGAAGCAGCAAGGGGAGCCTGGAAGACAGAGAATGAGAGAGGCCAGGTCATGCCCCATCTCTGGGCGTGGAGGGCATTTTCCAGCAGTGGCTCCAGCTTGCTTCAGCCCTTCCTCTGCCACCCCAGCTCACACCGGCAGAGGCCGCCACAGTGCCAGTGTCCCTCCAAGGGCCTGCTACCACCACCTCATCCCTGTGTCCCTCCAGCCCTCAGGG